GATAGGGGAAGTTTTCTCTTATTATTTCTTCAAATAGGTTTTCAATTTCTTTCTCTCTTCTCCTTCAGGCATCCCCATAATGTGAATGTTGGTACACTGGAAGTTGTTCCAGAGGCTCTTTACACTATCTTCATATTTTTTAATTCTTCTTCTTTTTGCTCTTCTAATTGGGTGTTTTTTGCATCCTCATATTCCAAATTGTTGATTTGATTCTCAGAATCCTCTACTCTACTGTTGAGTCTCTGTCAATTATTCTTTATTTCAGTTGATGTAAGCTTACTTTCTTACTGGTCCTTTTTCATGTCTTTGAAATTCTAAGATCCTTGTAAGTCTCACTAAGTACCTTGAAGCTCTCATGAAGATCCTTGAGTAACCTTATTACCATTGCTTTGAACTCTATATCCAGTAGTTTGCTTGCTTCCATTTCTTTCATTTGTGACATGTTTATTTGTCTCCACATTTTGGCTGCTTTCCGGTGTTTGTTTCCTTGTATTAGGTAGAGCTGTTATGTCTCCTGCAATTGGTAGAGTAGCCTTGTGTAGTAGGTGTCCTGTAGGGCCCATGGCCTCCCTACTCTAGGTGCACCCTTGTGTAGGTTGTATGCACAGTCTTGTAGTTGAGCTTTGATTGCTGTTGGCATCTTTGGGAGGAATTGACCTCCTGGAAAATTGGCTGTTAGGACCTGCTGCAACTACAGTGGGAGAGCTGCTGTGTAGAAGACACTCCTCTGGAGCACGACTTACTTCAGTGGGGCTTTGATGTTACTGAGTCTGCCTCTTGAGTGTGTGGCTTGTGGATGTGTAGAGTTGTAATCATATTACTATGACAGATGTCTGAGATTTTTCTGCCCGTTTTTTTTCTAAGATTTTTATGGTGTCATGTCTTATATTTAAGTCTTTTATCTATTTTGAGTTTATTTTTGTGTAGGGTATAAGTTTGTAGTCTAGTTTCTTTTTTTCCTTTTTTTTTTTGCATGTATCTGCTCAGTTTTCCCAATACCATTTATTGAAGAGACTGTCTTGACTCCATTGTATCCTCTTGCCTCCTTTTTCAAATATTGAGAATAATGGCTTGGGCTCATTACTGGGTACTTTGTTTTGTCCCATTAGTCTATATGCCCATTCTTGTGCCAGTACCAGCCTGTCTTGAGTATAGCAGCTTTGTAGTAAAACTTGATATCTGGTTTTATAATCCCTTCAACTTTGTTCTTCTTTCTCAAGATTGCTGTTGCTACTCGGGGTCTTTTTTTATTCCATATAAATGTTTGGACTATTTGTCCTAGGTCTGTGAAATATGCCATTGGTATTTTAATAGAGATTGCATTAAAACTGTAGATTGCTTTGGGTAGTATGGACATTTTAATGATTTTGATTCTACCAATCCATGAATATGGTATATTCTCCCACTTGTTTATGTCTACCTCTGTCTCTTTTTTCAATGTCCTGTAGTTTTCAGAATACAGGTCTTTTACCTCCTTGGTTAAATTTATTCCTAAGTATCTTAATTTTTTGTTGTGATGGTAAATAGGGTGGTTTGTTTAGTTTCTCTCTCTGAGAGTTTACTACTGGCGTATAAGAATGGTATGGTTCTTGGGGTATTACACTGGTTATACCTATTGATTTGATTGTCTCCCATGGGACTGGGGTCTGTGCTGTGCAGAGCAGCTCCACGAGCACCCATGCACTGTGGTGCTTGGCGGCTTCCTCTGAGTCCAGGTGGAGCTGGGCTTGTGTGTATGTGTGAGGCACGCTCTGTTGATTTGTTGACTGCTGCTGGAGCCTGGTCTGGGCTGGGGAGCCTTGTGAGTGCCTATGCTGTAGTGCATGCTCGTTCTGCTTTTTCACCAGCTGGGGCAGCACCGTGGGTGTGTGCAGCAGCGTCCTGGTGCACCCATGGCTCTGTACCCTATTGGACACTGTGGATTAAGCCCCATGTGGGGTGGACATGTGCATCTGCTATGACACTCTTGTTATTGATGGAGCTCTTTTAGGAGGGGTGGCTGGGGATGCACTGTGGTGCCCTTGCAGGTTGGCCAGAGCACCTGAATAGAGAGATCCAACTCATGTTATCCAAGTGCGGAGAGGATGGAAAGAATGGTGCTCATTAGGTCTTCTGACTTAGTGGTTTCCCGCAGATTCTGGAGAGCTCCAGTGGTTACTCAATCTTCTCTATGCTCTTTTGTGTGTGTGCATAAACTCTTCAGTTATCTCTCAGTAATAATTGCTCCAAATATAGATGTCCATTTGGTGTGCTCATGGGAGGGGACAAACTCTGCCTCCTCTTATGCCACCATCCTGATCTTGCCTGTGAGATGAAGTTTTTTCTTTTTAAAGCTGATTGGGAAATGTAGTTGGCGTCTACAGGCGAATGGGTTTGCTAATCTTCCCTGTCTTAGAGTAACTTAATTTTTCTTCAAAGCTTTAGGCCACCTCACCACAGAGGAAGAGCCTACCACATGGACAAGCAGAGAGTTCAAGTGTGCAAAAATGGTCGCTGAACTTGTGCGTTTAGTCTCTTTGTCAGCTTTACCAATTAGGTACTTCTGCCAGGGAGAAGTGGGCAAGGGGAAGAGAGGAGTTCAAGGCACTACTTTAAGTCACTTCCCTCCGAGAGGACACTCCAGCACTTATAATCATTGGTACAGTTGGATAAAGGTGTTTACTTTTTTTTTCAAGTTGGATAGAAAGGCTACTTGTTCTGAAATATCAGACCTCAAATCCCCATTTACTCACCAGTCTTCTAAGGAAGTCAGAAGAGCCTTATGGCAGGGAGAAAGTGAAGGCCATAATCTTGTGGCACTTTGGGCTGATGATTGAGGGATACTTGTGGTGTCTTCTGGGACACCCTGGGGGAGGCGCTGTAATTAGGGGGTGGGAGTGGCCTGTGGAGGAAGAAGCATTTGGGAAACACTGCAGTGGGGTATATCCAGCATGGCTCCAGCAGGCCCCAAAGCAGTTGCACGCAGAAGAGTAAGCAAGGTTGCCGGGCCATCATCTCTCCAGGTTGTTCTTTCACCTCCCCTTCTTTGTCCCTCTGCAGTTCTTTAAAATTAGTAAAATTAATGGATGTTTTTTATTGTGTATCTTTTGACCAAACACAAACTAAGCTCGAGATAAGTAATTATCAGTATTCCTTAGTAATCACATAGCCCATGATGAAAAAAAAAGAAAAGAAAAAGTCTCTCCTTGAACCAGGCTCCTCTAAACTTTCTTCTCAGTTAGGCCTTGACCTTGGAACTTCCATGTCTGTTCTCATCACCTAATTTTAGTCAGTTTAGTAAAAATCCCCACCCTTAATATATGATTAAATTCTTCATCCCCACACCAGGTATCTGATCAGGTTGACATGCCTTCTGTAAGGATCGTGTGAAGATAGTTTAGCCAGAATCCTCCCCTTACTCCTGATGTTTTCTCTTATTAAGTTCACATCTACTGACCCCTGCCCTGCTCCTTGGGTATCAATCCCCACTAGTCTATGTTATATTTGGAACTGAGTCCAGCTGTATATTGAGGTCTCTTTTCCTCTATTGCAATAGTCTGAATAAAATCTGGTTATACAACTCTACTGTCCATCCAGTTCTGGTTTTCTTTGAATACCCCCACTTCCAATATCAAATAGGGTTAATAATATTAAAACAGCAATTATCAAACCCAAATGGGAGAATCTTTTGCACTACATTTTAATCATAAAATATTTAATATTTACCTTAGACTAGATGCCACACAGCATACAAAAATAAATACAATATAATATTCCCTGACCTTAAGGGACATTTGATGTATATAACAAACCAAGAAAATAAATTGACTAATATTTATTTTTTATTTATTAAAAAATATTTTATTGTACCTTAAGGGACATTTGATGTATGTAACAAACTAAGAAAATAAATCGACTAATATTTATTACAAATTATTTTATATGGCAAATATAAGAATAACCATACAGCTTGAAAAATATTTAAATTAATATATTTGCTTTATTTACCTTGATGTACTATGGTGATGGAATAATATAAACAGGTAAAAAAAATAGAGTTTGTCTCCATCAATGACCTCAAAGATTTTGAACTGGTTAATGGCAAGTGAGGAGGAGGCAAAAAACAAGGTGGAGGATTTACAGAAGCAAGAAAGCTAGCCCAGCTTTGAAGAAAATGCAATAGGACTTCCAATGAAACAAAAAAGCAGCTTCCTGGGACTTGATTGGTCCTCAAGTTCAGCAGAGTCTGACTCGACATCAGGGACAAGTCCAGACAGGGCAAAGCCTGAAAGCACAAACATATCTGTTGGCTCTCAACTGACCATGCCACTCCCCTATGAAATGGCACCTTTCAGTGCACCTGCACTGCCTGATAAGTAACATGCCAGCGCCTTCCCCTGGCGGAAGGGTCCTCCAGGCTAAGGCTTGCCTCTCGGGCCTCCCTCCTCCAGTGAGTGTTCCCATGGCACTCACCAGGCTGCTTCTATTCCCTTATGTGAGCTCCCAGCAGGAAGGCCCTGCTCTCAGCTTTACACAGCTGACTTATTCATGGTCAGAATCTCCCTGACCTCCTTTCCAGATGGCCAGGGATATATCTTTTTTTATTGAACCTACTACATTACAATGACCCGGTTTATGTAACTGGTTCCTTTATGACACTGCGAGTTATTGAGGGCAGTGGCTACCTCTCATTCATTTTAAGAAACCCGCGTACTTAGCATAGCCGACTAGTGAAAGTTTGTGAGAGAAAATGAAATGCCCTAAAGCAGGGACTGAGGCTCATGGGACTATTTTGTAGTGGTGGAGTGCCTGAGTGGGGTTGAAAGCAAGACTTTCCAGTAGACTAACGGAAACAAGCCTGGTAATCCCCTTCTAATAGGGTGGCTGGAGAAAGTAAATGAAATCAGGCATACAAAGCATTGGATCAGCGTAAGCAAGCTGAGTTCTTTCCTCACCCCCACCACAAGCTGAGTTCTTTCCTCAAATACCACGCCCAATACAACCAGTGACAATAAGCGAGACCTGTTTCCCCAAGACGTGTTTAATTGCAAGAATAGAGGTAAAATCAACTCTCGATAAACATCAAACTATGGTTTCACGTTGCAAGGGCCCGCTGCTTTCTTTTTTCTTTTAGCCACAGCATTTCTGGATTTCTTCCGCGAGCCACAAGCAGTGCAGGATGCGTTTCTTTTCAGCAGCCAGTTCCACTTCAGAAATCTGGCCCAAGAGTTTCTGGACAAATATAGTCTGATCTTTTAGGAAAATATTCCTATTATCTCCTACATTTGGCACATTCTCCAGGGACCCAGATTTGAAATGGAAGCTTAAATGCCGGTTTCGTTTTAGACCAGGCCCTTTCTCCTCTATCCATGTCAGCGGGCTGCAAAAACAAAAGAACCGTGATGTTAGAGAGTACACAGGGGCACCAGGGATTGCCTGCTGCCTCCGGGAACAGGTCCTCGATTTGTAGCCACCTTCCTGCGACTGCTGCTCCCCAAGGTGGCTAGGGTGGCAACCCAACCTCCACCAGCCTCCCAAAGGTCATGGGTGAGCATTTCCAACTTTAGTGCCAAACAGTCCTTTAATTTTGCCACGGACAGGGGAATTCCTGCAATGCTTTTTGTGAACACCACTTTGTTATTCAGGAGTTTTTACTCTGAGTCTTATGGGTCCCTCTAGGGGAGACAGATAGGAACTACAGGCAATCTATGAACCACCTGAGATTTTGTGACAATTCTTCCCATGCGTATGTGCATTTTTATGGGAAAGGATTCCTTCATTACCTTCTCAAAGAAGACTATGACACCAGCACATGCCGGACAAAAACATGAGTGAATTCTAGCAATTGTACAACAGGGTTTCAAGTAACGATCCCTGTCTTGCTAGTTCTGTTGTGGCCTTAGAAGATCATCCTCCCCTTCTCCCCATCTCCTGCTGGGGCTCTGCTCCATGCCACTCTGCTGTTTGGCGATAGCTGAAACTTAACAATTTGTATCTGGGAACAACCGACAGAGGCTTCTCATGTGCCGTGACAAGGCCTGGAAAAATATCTACTTATAAAATCTGGCCTGCAGACTAAGAAAAGATCTGGGGGGAAAAGAGAAAAGTGCTCACAGATCCCAAAGCATTCTTCCCAGGTAGAGTCAGAAGCAAGAGCTGCACACACAGGATAAAAGGCTTTCCTCACACAGCACACTACCCACAGGGTCTGTAAAGCAAGCAGGGACCCATCTGCTTAAAGAACTGTAGTTCAGCAAGTTGCCTGTTCTGGAAGCCACTAACATGATCCATGTGTGAATCAACACCAACCCATAAATGTGATGTTCACATTCATGTCAGGCAAAGACTCTAGTAAACAGTAATTAAATTAAATTAGTAAACTTGTAAGGTGTTCAAATCTATTAATTAAATTTTTTTTTGGTTATGACTCAAATGAAAAAAAATACATGATTATTATAACCTCTATAAAAAAGTTGGTATAAATTCTTCTAAAAAGTTAACTTTAGCCTTAGCCAGTTTGGCTCAGTGGATAGAGCATCAGCCTGTGTCCCAGGTTCGATTCTGTTCAAGGGCACATGCCTGGGTTGCAGGCTTGATACCCAGTAGGGGGCGTGCAGGAGGCAGCCGATCAATGATTCTCTCTCATCAATGATGTTTCTCTCTCTCTCTTCTTCTCTGAAATGAATAAAAATATATTTTAAAAAGTTAATTTCATAGCTAGATTTTTAGGATTTTGTTTTGTGTTTGCTTTATTGAGGTAGAGATGACAAGTGACATGATATTAGTGTCAGCCTGGTGGCTAGCTTTAAAATTTATGATACAGCCTTTACAAACATTCCAGAATGTGATGATAAAGATTAATATCAAGGCTCCTTATTAACTGCTTTAACACCAGACAAAAACCACTTGAGATACTCCAAATATTTTAATCTACCTCAGAGAATTTCTCAGACCCCTCCATGTAACACACAGCCTTAGAATTTGAGGGGATACAAAATGTCAGGATGTTTCCTCCACTTCAACTTCATAACGGTAAAAATAAATAACGAGTACACATCTTTACCTATGTTGTGGTGGTGATGGTGGTGAAATTAAAAATGCCATTTGTGAGGTGGAGAATATTATATGAATGAAAAAATTATGGTATTTGCCACCTGCCCACCCTTCACCCAATGCTTTGCAATGAGAGTCAGCTCTTGTTTCCTGTTTGATTCCCACTCCACGACTGAGCACAGCACCTCCTCCTCTAAGAAGCACGATCTGACCTCTCCAGGTGCCCGTTCCCTGCACTCCTGCAGCACCCTGAGCCACCTTTAGCTCTGCACACAGGGGACAGCACCTGCCAGTGGACATGGCTGCAATTCCATGTGACCAGCATCAGAGCCCAGGACACCCTCTGCATGTTTCACCGTCATCTGTTACCTCTGCCTTTTCCTAGCAAAGAGGAGACTCCTCAAAATGGACATCAGGTTTCACTCAGGAAATAAAATAATTTTCTTTTTTAAAATAACCCAATGGTCTGTTTATTTTACTACCAAGAGATCCACCTACCTGGAAATACACATAGGAACTCTAAAACCTGAGCTGTTTTAAATATTTTACAGAGCTGAAATACTTTTAAAGGAAATTTATAAATGTGTTTTTGTTGAAAAAGACTTGGTATGAGAAATAATCAGAATGTTTGGGGAACAGTATGACAGTATGATGTGATGATAAATAAACAGAACCTTAAATTTTGATCACACTGAGAGATGAATTGTGGACATGTGATAAGCAAGCAAGATAACATATTAATGGCAGGGTCTAGGTGGTATTTGTAAGGGTGTTCACTGCAAAATTCTTTCAACCTCACCATATGTCTGAAACTTTTATAATAAAACTAGAGGCCCAATGCACTGGTGGGGAGGGTCCCTCAGCCCGGCCTGCTCCCTCTCACAGTCCAGGAGTCCTTAGGGGACGTCCTACTGTGGAGGTGATCGGGCCGGCCGATCAGGGGATGGCACTGCCCCCATCACCCCACTGCGGCCATCCAGCCTCCTCCTGTAGGAGGTGACCGGATGGGTGATTAGGGGATGGCGCCACCCCCATCACCCCGCCACTGCTGCCACCTGGCCTCCCTCTGTGGGAGGCAACCAGACAGGCTGATTAGGGGACAGTGCCAGCCCCCCCTATCACCCTTCCACTGTTGCTGGTCCCCCACCCCCATCGCCGTTTCCTCCCTCTGCCCACTGGCATGCACCTTGCTGGCCTGGTACCACCTGCTCGCCGGCTCTTCCCCCTGCCGACTGGTTGTTCCACAGTTCGGTCGATTTGCATATTATACTTTTATTATATAGGATTTGGGGAAATATTCAGGCCACAGAGCTACTAGGTCTGATATTGCTCACTTGTATGACTCAGGCAACCTGCTCCAATTCTGTAAGTCTCTGTTTACTTATTAGCCAAGGGTATCATGTTTGTCTTATTTACCTTTCAAGGCTTCTGTGAAGATGAAATAGAGAAATATACATGAAATCTCAGTAACTGTCCTGTTAGCAAAACAGGCAGCCCTTCTGGAGTTGGGGCTAAGGGTGTAGGCCCACCAGGTTCTCTAGATTCACCCTGATGAACACGGGAGAATGTCCTTAAGTTTTCTTCTCTTCACGGTTTCCCACAACCTACCGTTTGTTCTCTGTCTCCAAGCACACAGTCATTTTCAGGTACTGATCTTCCTTTCGCTTTTCCAAAGTGGCAGACACGAGAGAAAGTTCCCCGAAGAGAGAGACGAGCCAAGTCAAGCGAGAAATGCCGCTGAATGCAGGGAAACCAAACGGCTCTTCTTCCAATGGGCCAGCTGTGGGAATTACAAACACAGTGGGAAGCGGGAAGCAAAGGACTGACAGCTGGAGAGCAGGGGCGGGACATACATGGGTATGGTAGGGAGCAACCCATGTGGCTGGTGATCAGGACAGCACAGCCTCGCCTCACCACATGGGGGTGCAAGATGACGAATCACACTGACGAAAGCTCAGGTGCTTGAATGTAAACCCTTTCATAAAAGTGTCTCAATTTTTTCTTGTTTATTAGATTTGGTTTTGTTAGTATAATAAAACATTTTATTGGAAACAGCAGTCCATCTAGTCCACGGGCTAATAAAAATGTTTCAGATTTCTAATATGTATGTGCACATATACTATACACAGACACATATATAGGAATACATATGTATCCTCATCAGTTAGTGAGTTGAAGAAGTAAGAAATCAACATATTCAGCTCAAGTCTTATGTTCCTATATATACAATCTAACTATCTGTATACATGGCAAGAAGGTAAAAGTTTCATGATAACTGTGAAGAATACTATAATATCCAGAAACTATGTCAACATCAAGAAAATTGACATAGTGGTAAGTGTTTTCTTAATCTACCTTCCTGAACAAAATTATACTCAAGAGTATCTGTGTGATAAATCTATTCAAGATACAGCTCCTCTTTTCCTCAGCCTAAATTTTAAACATAACCTAGATTTAAAAGACTTCATATCCATTACATTGCTCTATAAACCAAATCTTTCTTATAACTTTGATGCCAAAGATAAATTATAAATGAAAGCAAACAGACTTCCCTTCACTATGGTGGAGTAGGTCATTGCTATATTCGTCTGCTCCCATTGCTGCATCAAAATTACAACAAAATTGTAGAAGACCCATCATTGAGAACCACCTGAAGAGTAGCTGAACAGAACTCCTAGAACTAAGGGTATAAAGAAGAAGCCACCGGAGACTTGTGGGAGAGGCAGAGACCTGATCTGGACAGGCCCCACATCCACGTTGTGGAGTTAAGAAATGGGAGGGCTCTCTCAGCTGTGGAGAAGCCCTGAGGAGCAAGCAGCCCCAGCCCCACACCAGGCTCCCCAGCCTAAGGCTTCAGTACCTGGAAACAAAGCCCCCACAACTTCTAACTGTGGGGATGGCAGTGAGTGAGATGAAGGGCTGTTGTAGACCTATGCACAGACCCACTTACTTAAACGCAATTTGTTCTGATCTCCAGCACGGGGGCAGCAGCATGAAAAGTGCCAGGGACAGACGGGGGCGGGGGGTTGGATTTACTAACTTTAGGGTGAGGGCTGGAGGGGCAGGAGTTAGGGCGGCTCAATACAAGGACAGAAGTGCTGGTGGACACCATTGTTCCTTTGTTGAGTCCTCCCCACATCCAGCCTGAAGCTCAATGGGCACAATATCTAAGCTATCCACTAAACTACGTAACACCAATCACCCTTCCCTGGTGATTCCCTGAATCCTGACCAACCAAAATCATGCTCCTGCCCCAATCTCTTTCCCAAACAGACTGGCCACCTCAGGTCGCAGTGTGCATGTTCCTGAAATACCTCTAAAGTTCAAAACTACCAAACAAGTCGCATCTGGCCACAGCAGGCCCGTTACCACTTGCTAAGCTGCCTGAAGCAAGAAACTAGTGGAAGCTGGATCAGTTCTCTACTTGGCCTCTCCCAGGTGCCTCCAAGCCAAGCACAGGTGGCAACCTTCTGCAGGTCATTTTGTACCTTCTACCAGGTAGCCCTGGGCAGACACAGGCAGTGGCTGACCTTGGCCTGATTAGCTTAGAGGATCCATGAGGGGGTCTATTTGAAATCATGAGTAATAAGCAACATCTTAACAGTTATCAAGCCTAAAGAACGTAGTGCCTTGTTTTATCCACAGAACAGACCTCTGAGCAGCAGCAATTCATGAATGAGGAAAATCTCCAGTTCTCTGGT